AGCAGTAGGCAGCATGGAAGGCCAGGGCCTGTGTTGTCCTGGAGACTCTCCCCAGAGCTCTCGTCTAGGGCAGTGTGGACAAGGCAGTGTGGTGCCGCGCTCAGGATGGAACTTGGATGTGTTTCAGCAGCCTTTCATGGGGCTCAGGTGGTGTGCAAATGAGACTGCACCGTGGGTTTACTCACATGGAAAGGGCTTTGACTTCCCATGGGTAGTAGGGCTAAAGCCAGGAACAGGGATCAACTTTTGGAGAGGCGGGATTGCTGGCCCCGAGGAACCAGGAAGAAGACTGATCCTCTTGTGGCTCTTCCAGTGAGATGAGGTCACGTGCTCTGCCTTGGACCTGTGACCAAGGGAAGTCTGGGGATGCCTGGCTGCAAGAATACAGGGAGCTCAGCTGGCTCTGTCCCTTCCAACTCTGGGAGTGGCCCCTTGGGTTCAAGTTGGTTGCAATATGCTCTAGTAGATGGACAGTTGGATGTCCTTGGGCTGGCTGAGAAGATGGGGGCTGCAGCAGCCCCCCTGCTGGGCTCTACAGAGCTGCCATTTGTGGAGAAGGGACTTCACACTTCCCAAGCCCTGGCTGGCACCTGCGCCTCCCAGGTGTGGGGCCCAGATAGCTGTGACTCAGCGGGTGTCTTATGTGTATGAGGCATGGGATTGGGGCCCTCAGTCCTGCTTGCCAGATCATGGGGGTGAACACCCCTATTTCATTATGAGAACACTTGGTGAGGTTCACCTGGAAGATGTTTGATCAGGCAACTTGGCATGGTCTGTGTAAATAGCTTTGGTTTTTTATTGTATTGACTTTGACGTAACTACAAGGCTCCTGAGGGTGGGTTGAGGGTTGAGCTTTTCTCCTGGGCCCAACTGCTGCTTTGTTGGAAGGGTCTACCCAGCCTTACATTTTTGTAGAATTCATCATTTATCCACTACATGGTATGTTGTGGTGAGCATGAGAGGAGAAGGTATGAGAAGCCTAAATTCATTGCACTGGTGATGCTTGGACCAGGAGACCCCTTCTCTCTTTTTGACGAGTAGTGAGGAACTCTGCCCAAACCCTCAACTTGTCTCCAGGTGCCGCGGCCAAGCCCATTATCAGAGCTGTCTCCAGCAAGCCTAGGCTCTGAGTTTTAATTTGTAGCAGCCAGAGGCAGGGAAAGGGAATGCTTTGTGACTCATGAAGTCACATAGGCAGACGAGCAGAACCACAAATACGGGACTCCAGTTGGCAAAAATCAAGTTGCTTCAAGGCTATTCTTGGAAACTAAAGCATCACATCTTGTTTCTTCCCAGAAAATGCAGAAACCTTTCTGATTTCTGGGTAGTTGGTTTTATTTATATTTCACATCAAACTCAGAAAGGCAACAACTGGCTGGTAGTTGACAGGAAGGCTTTTAAAAGACCTGCCACCCCAGATCTTCTGGTGTAACCAATCCTTCACCTTCTTTTAGGGAAGGAGAAAGGTATCCTTCAAAAGTCTTAGACTCTAGTTTCTAGAAGAAAAGTCTTAAAATTCAGCCACAGACTCATAGCAACTCTACATTAGCCTTTCTCATTCATGACCAAAGCTAACATATATGAGTTACCCCCTTTCTATATATGGGAAGCTGAAAACTCATAAGGTGATTTGTCCAAAGCTGTGAATCTAAGAAGTGGGTTTAAAACCAGATCTTCTGAATTGGAAGCTTCTGGCTTTAAAGTACATGCAATGCCCCCACTGGGAAACTAGTCTCCCCAGTCCGAGTGTTCCTCCTATGCTTCCTGTTGGGCCATGGGAAGACTAAGTTCTCAGACAGCTGCCAGGTGCTGAGCCCATCGTCGACGTGATACCATTTATTCCTGACAGCTCCATGAAGCATTACTCATTTTGCAGATAGATGAAATCACTTGCTAAGTTGCACAGCTGGCAGCAGCTGGACCTGGTTCTCCCCACTTTTGCCAGGCTCTGACTTCTCTATTGTTCTTCTGTGAGGTGACCTATCTCTCTTGGTTGTTGGGGGCATGTTGAAGGCTTTGTCTTAAACAGGAAAGCCGGATTTAAAGGTTGAGACAGGCATTTAGACCTCGGCAGGCAGGTCTGAGCCTGGTACCGCTGCTGGGGCTCTGTCCAAGCAGCTTATCTCCGCCTGTCTAGCCATCCCCTCCACCTCCCTTATCTCACCTAGATAAGGGCCAGTTCCTGGAGCTCCCACGCCTACCCAGCACCCTTAGCACCACCTTTGGCTCTTTCTGCTGGAGTCCTCAGATTAAGTTGTTCATTTTTCTTTGGGGGGAGGAGGAGAGGCCCCTTGGTTTAGAAGGAGACTGGTTCTTCCAGTTTGTAAATTATTCCTGGGAGTCAGGTCTGGCTTGATACCTTTAAGCAATTCACCATTTTAGACAAGGAAGCGCTGGAAACTTGGGAACAGTTTACAAAACTATTTTTCATACTGGTACATTTTGGACCAAGTGTGATAGAGGCAGCATGCCTCTCTGGCTTCCAGAACCTTCCATGCCCTGCCTCTGGCCTGTATCCGGTCCACCACAGCACCCCTGTGGGACGCATATCACAGTCTCTTACAAAGAAAATGACTGAGGCTCAAACCAAGGGATTTGTGTGAGGACACACAGGCAATGAGGGGCGGTGCTGAGAGCCAGACCCCGGTGGTCCCAAAGCCTCCTGGTCTCCACACACCTTCCCATCTGCAGAAAGGCCTGCACTGTGAAATGGAAGCCAAGTAGCTTTGTATTTGCCCATCAGCTCCTGAATTCTTTGTTCAACAGAAGTGGTTCCAAAGACAAATAAAGACTGAGGATGTTAACAGGCTCTGAAAAGCACACGTCCCGCTCTGTGTATGCTCTCTGGGTGGCAGGCCTTGCGCACGGGGGAGAGTTGAACCACAGTGGGAGGCAGTGTTTATGTGAGTGATGCCAGAGTGAGCACCGCGGACATTAAAGGAGCCAAGAGCTCATCTGTGAGGGAAGCCATGTCTTACCCTTCACGCCTCAAGTTTGTTACATTTGTTGAATTGCAGAGTCTAGTGCAGACAGGTAAGTTCTCCCAAGGACTCCTGTGAAGGCATGGGGCTTGGCTTTGCCCGGGACTGTTCTTCCTGTAGCTGAGGTGGTGCCAGGTGTGCTTGGAGAAAGATGGAAGCGAGGGAGGGGTCTTTTCTGTAGTTCACCTCTTAGTTTCTGTCGGTCTGGTATCTTAAGAGCTGGTCTGCCCCAGCAGACAGCTCTGTACAGGCGGGGCCTGGCCAGGCCCCCCCACAGCATTCACGTGCGTGCTTGCTTCTCCTAATGGCTTTCCCAGCTTCTTACCTCATTGCTGCCCCGGTTGCCCTTAGCTTCCCCCTTCTCCAGTCCACCCTCTGCCAGCTCATCTTCCTAAAACTTCTCTCACCCTGCCGATCCTTCACCTGTACCCCATGGCCCACTGGAGCAGCTTGGAGTAGACAGACTCCACGATCTGCCTTGGACACCTCACCACATCTGGTCATGATTCCTGAAGTGCTGACACCTTGAACCAGCTGTGGTTCCACCATACCCTCCTACCTTTGCACGGAACATACATTCCTCAGTATTTTGAAAATCATCTAGTTCCGCAGATTGTAGCATTTTTGGCAATTTGTCTCGTGGCTTCTCGGACTTCTGCAAGTCCTGTTGGACTCTGCCTGCTCTGGGCTTGCATGAACTTTGTTCATACTTAGAAGCCTTGCCCTGTAGAATACACTTTATGGGTCTGTCTTTCTTCAGTTTCCGTAGCAGCTAAGGTGACGGATGACTCTTGCTGAGGCCCCACTCTTGCTGAGTGTTTAGGACACTGTGCAGGAAGAAGGTAAACATCACACCATTCTTTGCTTTTTGTGTGATGAGGCTGGCCTACAGTCCGAATGCACCCATGAGAGCGTTCCCATCTGGAGAGTGGGGGTGCCACCTGAGGGCCTTGTCCCTGTGAGTTGGCTGACTTCCTCCTGCCAGGAGCCTGTGGGGGCATCTCAGTGCACTGCATCCTGCCGTGTACAGACCCCTGCAAAACCTCCTGACAGCTGGGGCAGCCCCAGATCCTCCACACTTGTCTTCTTGTATTAACTTTGGGGAAACCAGCGCTTTGGAAAATCAGTTCTAATTTATTTTTGTTCCTTTGAAACTTAAATGACTTTCCTAAGAAATGCCTGAGGTTAGAGTGGCACAAAAGGACGATGCCAAAACCCAAGCAAGCTATTTTTGTGATGTGAATGAATACCCATCGCACTTCTCCCTCCGTCAGTCTGAGCACTCGTTCCGAGTTGCTCCCAGCTTGGGCTTACAAAGCACAGGCTCTTGTACGCGGGGAGGAGACCCATGTGTCTCGCTGTCGTTCTGTCTTTACTGGCAATAGAGAAAAGCTTCAGAAACTTGCCGCTTGTCCTCAGTATAGGAGAAAGACCTTGCTCCTCTGGTCACTAACAAAGAGTGAGTTTAAAATTTGATATCTAAGGCTACTTTATTCCAGAGACACCCACTGACTACTTCTTGATTTTCACCTCCTGGGTGTACAAATGATATAACATCCAAACACCAAAGTTCCCCCACCTTCTAGCAGAACTGCTAGTCCCATTGTTTACTTGCAGCAGCACTGGGTGAGCTGCACATGAGGTGGTCTGGAAACCTAGGGAGGAAATGTGCCTTGATTTAGGGGGGCTGTCCACTGATGTAATGCAGTTAGGGTGCATTCATATCAGTCGACTGGCTTTCAGAACCAAGAATTACAAGTTTTCAAAGATGCTTGATTTTCTAGAACTAGTGGACTCATGGCAAGATTGGTCAGGTGATGTTCATACTAGCCAACGTCTAACGTTAAGCAGCCTGCGTTCTTTTCGGTCAACAAAGAGGAGTGGGGTGCTGAGGAGAAGCTTTGTAAGGGGGTGACATTGGCAGTTAGAAAGCACGTGCATACATTTTATAAGTCATTCATACCCCTACCCAACCCTCATCGCCACGGAGCTCACCTCTGCCACCTCCTACATTTGCAGGTGTGACGTTCCCCCAGGGACTTCATGGTGTTCTCCTCCATCCTCTTCACACCATTGCACCACGTGGCTCCTGAACATGGGGGAAAATGAAGATGAGAAGCAGGCCCAGGCTGGGCAGGTCTTTGAGAACTTCGTCCAGGCATCCACCTGTAAAGGCACACTCCAGGCCTTCAACATCCTTACGCGACACCTGGACCTGGACCCTCTGGACCACAGAAACTTTTATTCCAAGCTCAAGGCCAAGGTGACTACCTGGAAGGCCAAGGCCCTGTGGTACAAGTTGGACAAGCGTGGCTCCCACAAAGAGTACAACCGGGGGAAGTCATGTCTGAACACCAAGGTAGGGAAAGTGGGCATTTTTTACCTTGTGCTTTTTATGGGCTGACTTTCGGGGAGGCTGGAAGTGGGTGTCATTTTGCCATCTTAGGGTTCTTGACAGACCTCGGTGTGTTTCATTGTTTAGTTGAAAGTTTCACTTGTCTGACTTGCACAGCTTACCCATACCATGGTGCCCCACAGCTCTTCTGTGCCCTCTCCATGGCAAAGTTGAGGCATGAAGCAAGTGCTTGCCATTAGCCTACGTCTACTGTTATCATCACTGTTGCTACTTCTAGTAGCTACTGTTTTGTGACCATTTTCTAGTCTCTTTGTGTACATGGTCTTTTTAAACATCTGCAGCAGTCCTTTGAGCCATTTAAAACTCTGGAAACCTTGATGGCCATTATCTAGTACAGATCATGCAACTAGGAGGTGACTTTGCTCTAATTCTAGGTATTCAACCCTAAATTCCATGGCGATGCATAACATTGAAAGTTGTGTTCCTCCAAATATTTTAGAAGATGCCTCCCAACTTTCAGTTCACTAGTGGGTCTTAGTCCTCCTTGCCTTTTCTTCTCTCCCTTTCCTACCTCCTCACACCTCTGCATTCTCCACTTCCCCAGGATGCCTCTCCCTGCTCAGGATCACACTTGCCCCACAAGCTGACACCTTGCACCATGGTTTGGCCATAGGCAACATTGGTGAGCACGGGGCTGACCTGCATATCACATGTCTTTGAAATGCCTACCATCAAGCAGGCAGTTAGAAGCCAAGACTTCCTGGCTGGCCCTTAGGGGCTGACAGCCCTGGGCCCTGGTCCAGACTGTATGTTTAGGTTAAAAGTGATCATGCTGTATTTAGACCTCACAGGAGGTAGCTCAGCCAGAGCCCCTGGAATTCTAGTCGGTGCCAATCCCAGACAAAAAGATTGAACTCTCCATGGCGATTAGGATTGTTGTGTTTTTGTTTTGGTGATGAGGAGTGCTTGCATCCACCATGGGAGATGGCTGCTTTGCCTTTGCCCTGGGGGAAACAGCTGCCAAGCTCCTCAGAACCTGAGGCTCCTCTCCTCTACAGGGCATAGGGAAAGCAATCCATCAGGCCCACCAGACTGAAGGCTCTAGCCCAGAACATACTAGCTATCCACGTGGGGCTGCTGGTCACCTGCCAACTCCAGCATCCTGGTGAGAAGATAAAAGTGTTAAAGAAAAGGGGAGAGAGATGTGGAGCCGGCATCCAATGTGCAATGCGTACCCAGCACCTCCCTTTCTAGTTGTTACTTCAGGGTTCATGGCTCACTGGGAAAATCCTCACACTTAGAGAAGGGAGAGTTTTTAGCTTATGAAGTGTCACCATCCTCAGTAATTCTCTATGAGGACTTGCTTTCTCAAAGGTCCCCTAGGAGTCGGGTGGCTGGCTCAGTGTGTTTTCTCAAGGACTGCCTCAAGAGCTCTCTTTTAAATCAGGACAGGCCATGGCCCCATACACCCGACAGTTTCTAGCTGTGCTGGGCACTCTCCTTAGTGATGTGCAGACAGACCTTCAGAGAGAGCCAGCCAGCGTGGTGGTGGCCAACATGAAGACGTCCTTCTTTTATTAAAGATCACCAGCCGATTGCCTAGCCTACCTGGCCAGCCCCTATTTTTATAAGCGTTGGTGATTTGAAATAGAAAAGTCATCACATCTTGTGGGTATCAGGTCACATTTGGTGCCTGAAATATGAAGAGAAACAAAACAAAACAACAAAAACAAAAACTAATGTCTTTAGTGATGCTGAGAGTGATTCTTGCCCAGGAATTTTTATCTCTTTCTTATGAGGAAAAACGAAGACATTTCAAATGTGTGTTGTGTTGGTCCATCTCATAAAAGCTACCCTGACAGCCCTGCACCCCCTGTTGAGTGAAAGCTGCATCTAAATACACTCTACAACTGTGACTGTTAGGCTTCAGAACCCAACTTGAACTAACTTAAACAGAACGGGGGGGGATCACTAATTGGAATAAACAGGAAGATCCAGACACTCAAAATCTCCCACCCTCTCTCCTTTGACTATCTCTGGGATCTTGTCCTCTGTGTTGGCTCCATTCTTCTTCCCGCAAACAACTTTTCTCCCTGTTGGCATTCTCTAGTTTGTACCTTTATAGCTCTGTAGCCACCAAAGCTAGAATCTTTCTCTTTCTGCTCAATATTGACAAAATAATATGTCAGGGGAGAATTCTGATTGGCCCACCTTTAAATCAGTCCTTGTGACCAAAGCTAGGGGAACTGGCTACTGTCCTTTCGAGCATCACATGTTAGTGGGAGGGAGGAGCAGGTCCCCAGGACAGATCAACAACAGGTGTCTCAACACTAACTGTTGATTTGCATTGTGGCTACGGTACAGGTCCTCTTCATGTTAGATTCACATTGATGCTTAATGGTTACCTTCCAAAGCCTAGTTCTGGTACTCATTATCAGACAAGCAGAACACAGAGCATGGTTCCTCCCTCCTCAGATATGGACAGACACTGTCTTTCTCACACACTCCTTTAGGTATCCTTTGGTGTAGTATTTATTCTGATCATTAGCTGATCAAGAAATGCTGGGCACTTAGCAGGCACATAGCCACTCATTAATGCTAAGCCACACGATACAAATATGTCAGGTGCAAGACCTATAGCCAAGTTGTTGATTAGCCACAGGGAGAGCAGAAATAGATGAACTGCAGCCTTAACCCCCACCATTGCAATTTGGACACCCCATGTTTAGACGCATCTCAGCACCATATGGAATGAATGGGTTTCAGCATTTTCCTTTTGTCAGCTTCTACCCTGTGCTAAGTATGTGCTGTACCTTACATGCTAGCAGTGAGTGTGCGTGTGTGTCTGTGTGTGTCTGTGTGTGTGTTGGTCACTGGTGGTGGGGGAGATTGATGACCAGGATCTGTCTGAAGCCAAAGATCCTGGTGGAGGTGCCAGGACACAGGGAGAAAGATCCACAAAGTTCTAGAGAAGTGACTTTGGCACGAGTTGCATGACGACCTCACATGGGGCCATTGTTTATTATTGATTGTTATTTATGAGGGTTTTGTCAGGCACTTGATTATTCTTTCTTTGGGTGTGGTTTGTTTGGATAAGAATGGAGTAAACCAGAGATCAAGCCAAATTAACTCTTTCAGGAACTGATACTGACTCCACAATATGCCCAGATTGCTTGCCACAGCCTATTGTGTAATGATCCTAGGGAAGACAACCCAGAAGAATATGCAATATGTAATCTAGTATTGAAATTGCCATCATCACAAAATGAAGACTGGTCATTTATTTTTTATGTATCTTTAATGCTAGACTGCTGCGAGACTAATGAGAGATTGCAAGTCTCTCCATTTGCTAGGTGACCTGCAAGATGCCTAGACGCTAAAGCCTGAGGGTGGCACAGCCAGGATTTGGTCTGTTGGTTTGATTATATTTTTTGTTTGTTCATTCAAAAGCTGTCTTTAGTGCCCTACACCTTACTATGCATTTGGCCAGGAAGATGGTTTAAAAGATGAATAAGAAGTGGCTCTCACTTGAGCTTTCTGTAGAGGAGACAGAAATGTCATTGTTTCTGTTTTTATTCACTTGTTGAATCATTCATGAGGTGAACAATGATTGAGTAGCTGCTATGTGCCAAGTACTTGTCTAGGCACCTTTCAGTTTCTTAATAGCTCAGAGCCTTGGACAAGTTGCTTAAATCTCTGATCCGCAGTAATGTTCTCTATAGATGAGGACAGTAATGGCATTTCCTCATGGAGTTTCCATGATTAAGCTAATCTTTGCTGCTTTGTACATAGTAAATGTTCAGTAAACATTTGGCCATCATCAACATTAATATTCTAAGTGCTATGAGAGAGGTATATCCACTGTTCTGCAACAATATAGAAAAGCAAACAACTACTTGTGGCTGGAGCAGTCTGGGAATGCTTCCTGGAAGAGGAGGTATGATTGGTTGACAAATGAGTAGAAGTTTGCCTGGCAGGGAATAGTTTAGAGGGCATAGAGGGGAAAGAGAGATACATTCTAAGGAGAATGTGTTCTTGTATAAGGGAATGAAGATGCATACAGGGAGACAGGAAGGCAGAATGGATGAATGCAGATTGTAGAGACAGCCCTGCCACAGTCAGGTGACTGGAGGACTGTTGATGACCAGTCCCTTGATTCCCAGACTAGAGATTTTACTACCACTCTCCAGGGTTGCTAAGTAATCACAGGCAACCAACTTCTTACTCTAAAGCATTTGTACGTCATTGCCATAAAAACATTCTTGTAGGAAATGACTCATGGACTCTTGTCACCAGCCGAAATGGAGCCAATCTACATTATGAAATGTTTGGGTGATCTTGTTAGAAAGAAATACCTGTATTTTGTGAGCATACAGTAGGGTCACCACACACCTTTTACTCCCTCATGTGACCATGGCAAGTACTTTGTGCTGCGGCTTCCCAGTGGTAGATAGCCCAGGGTGAGGTTATGGGTGATGCTTGTCACCTAACTCAGTGTGGATTTCCTGAGCTTCATTAGCAGAGCACAGTGGAAGGCAGGACGGTAAGGTAAGAGGATGGGAAGGTTGAAGCTGGGAGGGTAGAGCTGGAAGCAGAGGGCTGCTATCTCTGGCCTAGATAAGCCTATCTGAGATTCCGGACCTCTGAAATCACCCACCATGGCTCTCAAAGCCAGGCTGGCTCGGGCATGTCAAGGGTGGTTTTGCCTAATACGGCAGTTGTAAGTATAACCCACAGAGCAGAGGATGGTTGCTGGGGGTGAAATTCTGTACTAGTTGACCAGAAAAGTTTTGATGAGCTCTACATCTGTCTACTTTAGACAAACTGGCAAGCCTAGCTTACCAATGCAGGCCTGTATTTACTACATGTGTCGCCACTTCTCCACTTGGATTATTGGGGGGGAGGGTGCTGCTTACACATTATATTTGAACTTCAGTAAATTCAATTCCCAGCAGTATTAAAGTAGGTTGGAAAACTCCTGGGTTTGGGCTGTCTTCATAGGA